TGGAGCCACTTTTGCTCATTTCAACAGCTAAAACACACCTTAGAGAGTGCCAAAAAGAGCAAGGTCCTAGTGAGGTGATTGAGATTTGAGAATCCCAAAGAGAGCCCTCATTAGTGAGATCAAGAGTAGCAAAGTGTGCATCCACCCTTCTCTCTAGGCTTGTCGTGGTCAAGTGAGAGTTCGTGCTTGTTACTCTTGGTAATCGCCATCACCTAGACGGCTTGGTGGTGATTGGAGAGCTTGTGGATGATCCAACTCAAGTTGTGAGCGGTTGTGGGTGATTCACCGCGACGGAGTGTCGAAGAATCAACCCGTAGAGAGCACTTGATCCTTACGCGGATCAAGGAGGAGCTACACCCTTGCACGGGTGCTCCAACGAGGACTAGTGGAGAGTGGCGACTCTCCGATACCTCGGCAAAACATCGCCGCGTTTCCTCTCCTCTCTTTACTTTGAGCATTTACTTTCTTATCATTTACATTCCTAGAATTGCCATGCTAGAGTAGGATTGGAACTAGGTTGCTAAACTTTTGTGCGTTAGATCAATAGAAACACTTCTCTAGCCACAAGGGGTTAATTGGGCTAACCATAGAACTTGTTTATTGCGAAGAAATTTAGAATTAGTCCAATTCACCCCCCCTCTTAGGCATCTTGATCCTTTCACGGACGTGCTGGTCCAATCGAGGCCAGCATCCATCACTTAAAGTGACCTCCGTCTTTTCTGTAAAGAGCACCGGTGAAGTTCCTAACCCTTGCTCAAATGTGCCAACCACCAAGTGTATCACCTTGTGCACATGTGTTAGCATATTTTCACAAATGTTTTCAAGGGTGTTAGCACTCCACTAGATCCTAAATGCATATGCAATGAGTTAGAGCATCTAGTGACACTTTGATAACCGCATTTTGATACGAGTTTCACCCCTCTTAATAGTACGGCTATCGATCCTAAATGTGATCACACTCACTAAGTGTCTCAATCACCAAAACAAAATAGCTCCTACCATTTATACCTTTGCCTTGAGCCTTTTAGTTTTCTCTTTCTTCTTTTCAAGTCCAAGCACTTGATCATCACCATAGCAACACCATCGTCATGTCATGATCTTCATTTGTTTCACCACTTGGAATGTGCTACCTATCTCATCACCACTTGATAAATTAGGTTAGCACTTAGGGTTTCATCAATTCACCCAAACCAAACTAGAGCTTTCACTTGGAGAATAAGGACATGTTTGGTTTGAGCTCAGCCATGAATTCCAGACATTCAATTTTAGAGGCCTAGGGCTAAGATTGCTGACTGGCCTAGTGAAAGGTCCTAATGGCTAGAGGGGAATGAATAGCCTATTAAAATTTGTACAACAACACTTAGCAAACCGGTTAGACAATTATGAGGCGAAGCAAGTGTTGCGCTAGCCTACTAAAAATACAAGCCACCTACCACAATTCTAGTTTCTATAGTTTCTAATCACACAATGGCTATGTCACTATACTAAGTTAGCGTGCTCTCAAAGGCTAACTAAAGAGACACTAACCAAACTAACAAGCTCTCACAACTAGCTACACTAAAGAGCTTGATAACTAGTTTGCGGTAATGTAAATAGAGTGAGCAAGATGGTTATACCGTCGAGTAGAGGAGTGAACCAAATAATCACAAGAATGAATACTAATGAAAACCAATCACCTCGGAATCAAATGATGACACAATGATTTTTTACCGAGGTTCACTTGCTTGCCGGCAAGTTAGTCCTCGTTGTGGTGATTCACTCACTTGGAGGTTCACGCGCTAATTGGCATCACACGCCAAACCCTCAATAGGGTGCCGCACAACCAACACAAGATGAGAATCACACAATCCACGAGCAATTCACTAGAGTACCTTTTGGCTCTCTACCGGAGAAAGGTCAAGAACCCCTCACAATCACCACGATCGGAGCCGGAGACAATCACCAACCTCCGCTCGACGATCCTTGCTGCTCCAAGCCGTCTAGGTGGCGGCAACCATCAAGAGTAACAAGCGAATCCCGCAGCGAAACACGAACACCAAGTGCCTCTAGATGCAAACACTCAAGCAATGCACTTGGATTCTCTCCCAATCTCACAAAGATGTTGAATATATGATGGAGATGAGTGGGAGGGCTTTGGCTAAGCTCACAAGGTTGCTATGTCAATGCAAATGGCCAAGAGAGTAATCTAGAGCCGGCCATGGGGCTTAAATAGAAGCCCCCACGAAATAGAGCCGTTGGCTCCTTAGTCCACTGAAAAACGGAGCGACCGGACGCGCCGGTCAGATCGACCGACGCTGGACCTCAGCGTCCGGTCGCGCGATGCATGTCACGTGGCCCCTGCTTCAAACGTTGATCGCCCAATCTCAATGGTCATTAGTACATTTAAGTTGTGACCGGACGTGCTTCTTCGAAGTGACCGGACGCAGGACACTAGCGTCCGATCGTTTCCAATAAGCATCCAAAAGCGAAAAATCACGACCGGACGCGTCCGGTCATGCCCGACCGGACTCACCCAGCGTCTGGTCACTCAACGTCTCCTCTATGTGCTGCCACGTCAGTGGGACCGGACGCACCCACTCAGCGTCCGGTCACCAAGTGACCCAACGTCCGGTCGAAGACCGACGCCAGCGTCTTCACTGCTTCCACTGACCGGACGTGCCAGTCCAGTTGAGACCAGCATCCGGTCCACTCTGAGAGACCCTGTCTTTTCTGTATAGGGCGTCGGTGGCACCGTCGGACTATCCGTACTCTACGGGCGGACACTCCACCGGTGTGGTTTCTAACCCTTGCTCAAATGTGCCAACCACCAAGTGCATCACCTTGTGCACATGTGTTAGCATATTTTTATAAATGTTTTCAAGGGTGTTAGCACTCCACTAGATCCTAAATGCATATGCAATGAGTTAGAGTATCTAGTGGCACTTTGATAACCGTATTTTGATACGAGTTTCACCCCTCTTAATAGTACGACTATCGATTCTAAATGTGATCACACTCTCTAAGTGTCTCGATCACTAAAACAAAATAGCTCCTACCACTTATACATTTGCCTTGATCCTTTTGTTTTTCTCTTTCTTCTTTTCAAGTCCAAGCGCTTGATCATCACCATGGCATCACCGTCATCATGTTATGATCATCATTTGCTTCACCACTTAGAATATGCTATCTATCTCATGAACACTTTGATAAACTAGGTTAGCACTTAGGGTTTCATTATTTCATCAAAACCAAATTAGAGCTTTCACCTGGGAGCTATCTAGATGGACTTCAACCAAACAATCCCTAACACTAATAGCCACAATTGCAGTTGCAATAGTTTCAGCTGTGCTGAACACCCCCTTTGTTTCACCCACTTTGACTTCACTAGTAAAACGAGACTTATGTAAGCCATGTTCGCTTGAATTACTTATCAGTCATGGTATAATGTTTTTCTCTCACAATAAAACAGCATCAGCCAGCTTATCAGCCGTAAAAACCATCAGCCAAATAGGCTGTAAATTTCTACCAAACAAGCTCTAAGATATCAACCACTATCATACCCAATACAAGGACGAATTTAGACATATTTATCGGGGTCACAAGGCCGAATTTAGGCATATTTATCGGGATCCCAACTCCCAACCCAATGGCATATGTAAATCCTTTATTAAAACATTGTTATAAATTAAAAGATCCATGTCATATAATAAAGTTAACCTTGTAGATGTTAACGGTGTTCTCGCTCGGCTAATTTTGCCCATGACCATACCCTCCTTTCGCGGGTTCTACAGTCCTATAGCAGCTATATACTTTCCAAATGTTTGTCAACAACAACCCCCTGTTTTATCACCCGGTAGCACAAACTCAATTTTTTTTTGAAATGCTATACAAAACCGGGTGTTTTATCACCCGTGCACGTCTAATTTTTTTTTGTCGCTGCCGCGCACTCAGCCTACTTACGCCGCCGCAGCGTCGCCGCCGCTTCATCCATCCTCCACGCCATCGCCGCCGCCGTCGCCGCCCGACATCTTCCTCAAGTCCGGCGAGCTTCTTTCCCAACTCCGACGCGCCACCAAATTTGTCTCTATCCTTTCATAAAAAAAAATTGTTACTTATAATTTGTGATTTGTTACTTATGATTTATGATTTATTAGTTATGATTTGTGATTTGTGCCAAGAAGAAAGAGAAGAGAGGAGGAAGATGAACAGTATCTATGGAGAAAAAATTCAGATGTTATCGGGTGCTAAAACACCGGTGTGAGATAGACAAGCTCTATACTTTATCTTTCAAGTTCACGCGTTTACCTTTGCAGGTTCCTTCATATCATTTCGCGACAATGGTCGTCACTCGTTGGATGCTTGGATAGTTGGATGTGAAAATCTGATAGTGATAGACAGACACCGCCGCACCGGAGGCAAAGGCGACCAAAAAAGGTTCTTCCACCATGCACACAGGCAACACACTACACGTCGTCCCGGTGACGTGGCGAACTCCTAGTGGCTGTCTCTGCAGCTCCGACGAGCGGCGATTCGCTGCGGCGGGGATCCATGACGCTCAGCAGAGCAGACAGCAAGCAGTCAACGTCGTGCTTAATAGGCCCAGGTCTCCGGCAACGGGCCCTACCTACGGCTCGGGCCGTGCCGCCGTGGCCCGTGGGAGTCCAGGTCCGCCATGGACTTTGACAGTCAACGTCGTCGCCCACCGCGTCGCTGTCCATCTAGCCGGTCCGCCACGGAAGACTCGACCGGCCTTCACCAGCGAGTGACCTCCCCACTCTCTCCCAATCTGACCCGGGCGTTCATAACAACCACAGCAATGCCATCCCCACGTCAGCGAGACGGCGCGGGACGGAGTGGCATCCTCGTGAATAGCCACGGTTCCTGAGCCCCTTCTCGGATCCGCTCTCTTAACAAATATTCCCTTCGCGGTTCCCAGTCGCCCACCGAGACTGGTAGGAAAGCTCGTCGCCGTACGGGGCTCGGCTCAGGTGAGCGAGCGGCGGGTACTGAGGCCGGAGGCGATGGGCCGCCTCCGCGACGGGCGAGCCTTCCTCCACCGCGCGCTGGTCTTCTCGTCGCTGCTCCTCCTCGCCTCCGGCGAAATCTTCTTCGAGGAGCGATTCGATGGTACTGTGCGTGGCTGTGCTGGGTTGATTTTATTTCCGGTTTAGCTAGTCGGCGCGTTTAGTTCGGTGGTCAACGGTTGTCTTCGAGGAGCGATTGGGTGATTCTGTGACTGTGTTGGATTAATTTGGTGCTCCTTTGTCCTATTCGCTGGTTTAGTTGCGCATTGGTGTCACTGTGACGAGTTACTGACTGCCTGCTAACGCCGACAGATTCAGAATTTCGGTTTGTTGGTTCAGAGTTGTTCGTTATTCATATGGTTTAGCTTTCCAGAGAAGTGAATTAGTCTAGAGGTATTGTTACTGTTAGTTGTGCCTTCTGATATGCTCCAGCGGTCCTGCCTCCAGGACTCGAAGAACTTACAGTTGACTTACAGTCCGTCGTCCTATCGATGTGATGCCATGTGCAGTCCATGAACTTATCAGTAGTTGATGTCTGCTCAACTTTCTTGTTTTTCTAGGTGGATTTCTTTTTTTTTTTAATTTGATTAATGAAATTGTGCAACATGGTAACATTCAGATGGGTGGGATAGCCGTTGGGTGAAATCTGATTGGAAGAAGAGCCAAGGACAAGCCGGAACCTTCCGACACACAGCGGGAACCTATTCTGGAGACCCTGACGATAAAGGTGAGGGTCTATTCATGAGTGGACCTTTATATGCAGTTGCCCTGTTCGCTTGGCTGATAAGCCATGGCTGAAAGCACTGTTGGCGGATTTGTTGTGAGAGAAAAATATTGTTTGTTGGCTGAAAAAGTACTGCTTATAAGCCAAGCGAACAAGGCGACTCGCATATAAGGGGCATGTGGTCCCTCTTTACTTCTTGTAGTATCTTGTGTTTTACAAAGAAAACAAATCTGTATTTGATAGTGACAGTGGATATTTTGATACCCAGTTTCCAGCTAGATATGCCTTGGGTCTATTCATGTTATTTCAACTACTGAACTTGAGCATCTTTTTAAAAAACTTCAATCAGAGGAGGTGCTCAGGCTGCATTCCATTCGCCACCCCCTGTTTTCATCATAAACATTTTTTTTTGTTAAAAAAAAAGAGAGGAGCATTTCTAGATCTGTACATACTTTATCAATCATATTCAATTTTTAAAACCAAAAAAGGTATAACCTTATCTTTGGCTTTTTGCCATGGTTTGTTTCATGTGTCATATGATTATTTGCATTGTGCAACCATCTTTTCAGGTATACAAACAACTGGGGATGCCAAACATTTTGCTATATCGGCAAAATTCCCAGAATTTAGTAACAAGGGCCGGACATTGGTGATCCAGTACTCTCTAAAGATTGAGCAAGACATTGAATGTGGTGGTGCTTACATCAAACTTATGTCTGGTTATCTCAACCAGAAGAAATTTGGCGGCGACACTCCTTACAGGTCAATTTGCTCTCTGTGTTTGGCCTAAAAAAGTTTGTTTATGAGGTTCCTTCATATAATGTTCAAAATTATAGATATGAAATGTGTCCTTGTGTATCCATGAACTCTACAACTGCAGCTTTTCAGTCTCCACCTTGATGTAGAACAATTTTTTCATAAAACCTGGTAGTAATCCTACCTTCGGATCTTGCGCATATTCCTAGAGAATCATCAGTGGTAATTTGGTGTATTGATCATCTGTTGAAGTTGATTGCAGCTGTTAAGGGAAGTCGATAACTTTACCAAAAAAAAGTATTAACATGCTGTGTTAGCATGCTTCAAACTTATAAAAAAAATTCATTAACTGTCTTTTTCTTCAAAAAGCCAATGGGTATCATGATACGTACCAGCTGAAAATTAGTTGGAAGATCATCTAAAACAGAGTCAATCTAGTTACTAATGTATAGTGTCCTGGTTGCCTTCCTGTTGAACTGTTAGTAATTATTCAGTCTGTCTTAGCTTCTACTGGCTATTACCTACTAAATGTCTTGATATTTGCTTATGCAGCTTCATGTTTGGGCCTGATATATGTGGGGATCAGAAAAAGAAGCTCCATCTCATACTTTCATACCAAGGGCAAAACTACCCTATCAAGAAAGATCTAAAATGCGAAGCAGACAAGTTGACACATTTTTACACATTTATTCTAAGACCTGATGCCACTTATAGCATCCTTATCGATAACCGGGAGAGAGAATTTGGAAGCATGTACACTGACTGGGATATCCTTCCTCCTCATAAGATCAAAGATGTTAATGCAAAAAAGGTTTGAGAGTTTTCTGGTGTGATGAAAACATTGTTATACAGTAATTTCAACCATGCCTTTCCTTATGCATCTGTTTCTTTCAGCCAAAAGACTGGGATGACAGGGAATATATTGAAGATCCTGATCAAGTTAAGCCAGAGGTATGCCTTGTCATATTTCCTGTCTTAAACTTATCTTGATCAATAATTCTATATAACCTTTTACCTGCACTGAACAGGGATATGATTCAATTCCTAAACAGATACCTGATCCAAAGGACAAAAAGGTATGCATGATTCTAAGTTTTTTTTTTAATATACACCAGTTCGGTTTTAACAATTTAATTAACACTTTCATGCTTCAGAGCACTTATTCAGATCTCAGTGTGCAAATGATAGACCTTTATTGTTTATATTATGAAACAAACGAGGGTAGAGAAACATTCAATTTTACACATTCATGCCTGTTACTTTTCCTTTCTTCTTTTTGAGCATCCCAGTCACTTTTCCTGATTCACTAGCGTGTGTCAGTAATTTCTAGACATTCATCACTCAACGAACACAATATGACAGTATTTTTGTTTTATGCTAAATCAGCCTGAGTCATGGGATGATGACGAAGACGGTACATGGAAGCCCAGAATGATACCTAATCCAGAATACAAGGGACCATGGAAGCGGAAGGTTTATTTACTTGGCTAGTAATCTTCTCATGACCTTTTGTTTCTTTGAATAGTTATGTACTCATGAAATTTCTGCTCTCAGAAAATTAAGAATCCTAACTACAAAGGAAAATGGAAGACCCCATGGATTGACAATCCAGGTGAGAGACATATGTCTGATCTTCTGCCCTTTACATATGTAGATTATGTCTACTGTCTGGTCGCATGACAGTTTTATGTATTTCTCGACAGTAATTTTACTGCATATGTGTCTTTGAACTGAATCTTGCATGCTTGATCCAACATTAATTAAACTATATTTTGCAGAGTTTGAGGATGACCCAGACCTATATGTTCTGAAACCTTTGCAGTATGTGGGGATTGAAGTCTGGCAGGTATGAAACATCGTAACTGGACAAAGGCGTGCCCCATCACAATCTTTGTTTGTATCAAATGATTTAAATCCTATCTGAACTAACTACTACCATGGTATACAGGTCAAAGCTGGTTCCGTTTTTGACAACATTTTGATTTGCGATGATCCAGACTATGCAAGACATGTTGTAGATGAAACTTTTGCTGCAAATAAGGAGGTAGACACACGACATGTTGTGATCCATGTTGTCCCTCCCTGGGAACCCTTTTTCATTTTATTTCTATGCTGCAGGCTGAAAAAGAGGCCTTTGAAGGAGCTGAAAAGAAGAGGAAGGCTAGAGAAGAAGAGGTTAATTAACATGGAATCTTATCCTCTTTCTGCTCTGGTTGCTGTTAACTGTTAACAATTCTGAAATTCTGAAGATGAGCCTTGGAAGAATTAACAGGCGTTGCTTTTCTGCAGGAAGCACGGCGAGCACGGGAGGAAGGGGAGAGGCGAAGGCGGGAGAGGGATAGGGACCGTGGCAGGGACCGTTACAGGGATAGATATAAGGTACATTTCTTCCATTCGCCATACTGGATCCCTTTTCCCTGTTGCAGTTATGTTTGTCCTTGTTATATAAGACCTTCTTTTCTTGATTTGTGTTCCCTCCATTCCAAATTATAAGACGTTTTGGCTTGTCTAGATACATAACTTTTGCTATGCGCTTAGATATACATTATGTCTAGATATAAGTATAGTTAAAGCTATGAATCTAGAAAAGCCAAAACGTCTTATAATTTTGAATGGAGTGAGTAGTTCAGCATTCCGTCCTCTTAACTTATCAGTAGCCTTCTTAAGGATTATTATCTGCCAAAAGTTTCAGATTGTAGGTCCTTGCTTCCCTGTAGATCAGTGATATAAACCATTGCATGAAGAATATTACAATAACAGACGTGACCCGCACACCTATGAATAATTTCAGCGTATTCACTCCAGTGAACAAATTTAGCAAAAATATGTGCCAAGTATTCATATCTCTTAGCTGCATAGTCAGTCTCAGTAATATGGCAGTGCTTTATATATCAACCATATGCTAACATATTGTTTCTTTCCTCTGCATTTGCAGCGTCATAGACACTACGACGACTACCATGTAAGTTACAAAGTATCTTCATTTCTTATCCTGGAACGCCCAAAGTTACACAAGAAAAGGTACCTGACGTTATAAGTTGTTTGTTTCGTGTTCAGGACGAGCTATAGATCACCTGTTCTTTTGAAATCTGCACGATGTTGGTTGTCTATGGAGGGCCTTGATGATTGTGCCAATAAGGTGTACCACTTCAGGACGGGCACAGATGTTTGAAGTCCTTAACCCGACTGTTACAGTCGTGGAGAGCACACGTGCAGAACTTGTATGTTGTACACGGGAATCAAGCTGAATCTGTGATTTTGGCGATGGGTAGAGATTGACCATCGCGGCTGTAACTAAACTTCCCCGTTGCGAACTTGCGATGCAATATGAGCTGTAGTACTGTCCTTGTACTAATATTTACCTCGAAATGTTATATTCGTGCTGCAAACGTTGATAAACCTTTCATTGTCAGGAGTCAGGACAAGGAAAAACACGAAGGGGCCTGATTGAGGACTCCTTTGTTGTTTGCTTCCTATCAAAATAAAATGTTTTATCTTTGTATACTTGCCCTACTCACTCAACTTTTTACTATTTTCCAACAGTTCGACAGCTTAAAATGACTACTGTACCAGAATCAGAATCCAGAAACAGAATCCTTTTATTTTAGACTCCAGAGCCAGAATCCTTTGATGGAAAGGTGGTCAAAACAATACAAAGGCAATACACGTGCAAAATTCCTGACATTACATTTCAGACCGTTGCACCACCACATTAGCAGCGTCAGTCAGGCCTACCCTGTTCCGGCAGGCTGATCGACATAGCAGAAATAGCCTGAAATCCCAGGCCTAATCCAAACCGAGCTCTGCCACACATTACAGGATCCAGCGAACGAAATGCATGCCACAACAATAAATATACATGGATCTACTGAACAAACACCCAAAAATTCAGATTGGACAAACATGTGAGCTCTCAGCTGTTATAATACAAGAAAATAATCAAAGTCAGTCGATTTAACATGAAGACATTAACATAGTACATCAAATTCTTAACAGGAGCAACTGAACACTAATATTTCTTCTACCAACTAAAACAATAGGCTGAAGAACATCCGAAGTCAAAATCATCAAGGTCTTAACAGCAGCAACTGAACATATATATTTCCTCTGCCAACAGAAACAATAGGCCGAACAGCAGCAACTGAACATGTATATTTCTTCTAGCAACTAAAACAATAGGCTGAAGAATATCTGAAGTCAAAACATCATGGTCTTAACAGTAGTAACTGAACACGTATATTCTTCTATACCAACTAAAATAATAGGCTTTGAAGAACATCTGAAGTCAAAAGGAGGAGTCTTGTCAAACTGTCATCAGTCATCGAACAACAAGAGAACAAGCTTTCCCAAAAACTCAACTCAAGCAACACTTTGCCGATGTCACTTGTAACTCTGTAAGGTGAGTGAAGAAATCAGCAACTCCAAATGTCAGGGCCGCTGAAAATCCAAGACGCCGCAGGAGCCAGTGGAACATGAGCAAAGGGCATGATGCGCATGTCTGGTTCGCCTGTGAACCTGCCACCAGCAATGCCGCCCAACTCATTGTAAGTAGGTGCTCCAACAACACACCCGAGTTCACTGGAACAGGATGCCATGATGTCATTGATCCAAGAAGCAGAGGACAAGGCCCTCGGTGCACAGTGAGCAGGCATTGGAGGGGCAGGGCTGACAAACCACCCGAGTTCACTGGAACAGGATGCTGTGATGTCATTGCCTATCCAAGAAGGAGAGGACAAGGTCACCTCTGGTGCACAGTGCGCACGCATTGGAAGAGCACCGCCGGACATCAAGAAGCTGCAGTTCATCGATGATTTGTCTACCTGTGATGCTTCTGTCTCCGATGTCCAGAATCTCTGAATAATAGACTCGCTGACCTTGTCCTGCGATGGCTCTAGTTCGGACTTGAAAGCAGAATCCAATGTAGTATTGCTCTTATCCTGTAGCAGCTTTTCCTGCGACAACTCTTGTTCTTCAGACGCCCCTGTCTCGGCCTTTGTCCAGAATCTCTGAATAATAGACTCACTGGCCTTGTCTTCAAGCCTGAACACTGAATCCAATGTAGCATTGTTGTTGCCCTGCAGCTGAAAGTTGTACGAGACTCTAGAGCTCAGCTTTTCTTGCAACGTCTCTAGTTCTTCATGCTTTGCTTCCTCATCATGCGATGGCTTGGGTAGCAACCCGCTGCACAGAAACTCCAATGAAGAAGAAAGTTGATAAGATATGACCTGTTCGTGCGATGCCTGGTTCTGCCTCGTCCTGCGACGGCTTGGATTCGATCCCACTGTGGAGAGCCTTCAATCGAGCAGCAGGTTCATACCGCGCTTTATAGCTGACCGGTTCCTGTGACGCGGCCGCCATAGAAATTGGAGCAGGATAGTCGAAAAGCCGGCGCTTTGCCTTCACGGGAGATGAGACCTGATTGAGGAGCTCATCAGTGGGCTTTCTCTTGCGCGCTGTTGATGATCTAGAACTAGAATTAGAGTGGGCCTTATAGATCTTGCAAAGAACTAGCACGGGCTCGCCGCCATGGATGCGGTCGTGGTTACCTTGTTGATCGTCGTCGCTGAACTCCACCATATACCATTGGGTCCTTTCACTGGAGTTCTTGCCGGTCTTAATCTTGTACGAGAAATACTGAAAGTGGCCGATGCAGTTACCCTCGTCGTCGAACACGGCACGGGGAGCACGCTCGGAGTGCCAGGTGCCCACTCCGCCGGCGACCTGGCGAGACTTGCGGGTGTCACGGCTGCTCTTAGGCTTCACGTGGGTGAAGAAGAACCAGGAATCGCCATCTCCTTTCTTCGCCGGGGCCGGCTCGTGGACCGATGTGAGGATGGCTGGGTCGGCGGCGTAGATGTCGACATCGTGGAAATGCGTGGCGGCTGTGGCGAGGAGCTGCTCGCCGGCGAGCTTCCGGCGGAGAAAGGCTAGCAGCCTGTCGTCCGAGTAGTCGGACGGCATCGGAGGCGTCATCTCCGACGGGAGGGCAGCTTGGCGTAAGGCGGCGGCGGTCGGCCCTAAACCTAATTGTCGCGAGCGGCGGATTAGGTTGTTCGTGGGACGCGGCTGATCAAAATTTCTTCGATGCGCACCGTAGGTTGTTCGTGGGTCTAAATCTACCATGGTGGGCTGCGCGGACAGTTTTATTTTTTCCTTTAAAAACGTCCTCATCTTTGTTGCGTGATGAGTCCGATTTAATTTTTTAATAAAATGGATTTAGTTTTTCAAAACCGTTCCTAAGCGGCTTTAAAAGTTCGCTAATGTGACACCACGTAGTATGTCCTATATTACATCATTTCAACAACGAGGATAGGTTTTAAAAATAAATGAGAAGGATAAATCTAACTTTTGCAATAGTTCAAAGCGGTTCATTGGATTTTATAGAAAATTGTAGAAATATTGTTTTTAAAAAATATCTAAATATCTTTTGGAATAGATATGCATTTAAAAATACTAAAATCATAGATCATTTTAGAGAATTTGTTTTAACTCAAATAAAATATGAAACCAATTTCATGTGTTTTTTCTAAAATAATTCTCTATGTTTTTACCTAGGCACCACAACATAGAGCATGAGTTTATGAAAACATAATGTCCAGCATCTCGGGCCTATACTAACTGTTTTCCTACTCCATCATGCGCTCCCAGTGCATGTGTGCGGACGAGGCGCTGTTCGACGCGTGGTGCGCGGAGCACGGGAAGGCCTACGCCACGCCCGAGGAGCGCGCGGCGCGGCTGTCCGTGGTCGCGGACAACGCCGCCTTCGTTGCCGCGCATAACGCCCGCGCCAACGCCGCTGGCGGCGGCGGCGCACCCCCGTCCTACACGCTCGCGCTCAACGCCTTCGCGGACCTGACGCACGAGGAGTTCCGCGCCGCGCGCCTAGGCCGCATCGCGGCGGCGGGGGCGACGCTCCGGAGCCCCGCCGCGCCCGTGTACCGGGGCCTCGACGGCGGTCTGGGCGCGGTGCCCGATGCGCTGGACTGGAGGGAGAGCGGGGCCGTCACCAAGGTCAAGGACCAAGGGAGCTGCGGTGAGCTTCCGTTACTCGATTCTGCTCTATGCTTTCGTTGAAATTAGCAAAACCCAACCCATGTGTTCCCCACATCAGAGTCCAGTGTAGTGTTCAGATTGCTTGTTAAACGAAGTACACAGTAGTGAGTTAATATCCATTTGACCCTTCCTAAGGAGGAGTAGATTCGATTCGTAGAATTAAGCTTAACAGTAAAAGGGAACCGAGGATGAGGAATCCAAGCCTATTTCAGACTTTTCGAATTCATCAGGTGCACCAAAACATGGAGGGTTGATCGATCGATAAGAATAGCTCACTTGCTTTTCTACGGTGGATTAAGTCACACCTCTGGTGTTTCTCATTCTGTCCAATTATGATTTTTCCAATGCTCAGGGCCTCAGTGGATGTGTCACAAGTCAACCTTAAATGTTTTGTTTACATGATCATTTGCAATTGTACCAACTAGAAGTTTGAAACTGTCAGCCGGTTCTACTTGTATAGTCTCTCACAGAACACTATTGAATCAGCCGAAATCAGCAGTGTTGTGGATCAACCGAACAGGCTGTGTATGGTCTCATTCATTTGAAGCTTTCTAGATCTTTCCAGGCATTAGATCCAACACGAGTTTTGCTATGACAAAGTTAGCAAATGTCTACAGCCTGTACTTAGAGTTAAATTGAGTCATTTGAATGATCTGGTGACATAGAGATGAAAAGTCACAAATGAAATCCTTCAAAAATAAGTTTCGCAATCCATGTGAGATTCTTCATTGCGTTCAATGAGATGTCAGCTACATGTCTTGTTTCAGTTTACAATGTGTTGCACTGAAAAATTGCATACGGGGAAAGACTTTTAGCTTCTTACTGTTGGAATAGACGTACATGTCTTGGATATATTATGTAATGCACTTGGCCATTATGAAGTTCATAAGATTGTTGGAAATATCAGTGCTTATGCTTCAAGCAATCCAGTGTCTGTTATGGTTATGTTAGGGTGGCTACAGTAAAAATAGGGGGGGGACATACATCTTATGCAATACATACACGCAAGAGCCTTCTCAAAAATCTTGTTTTACAACGTAGTAGAAGCAGTAGTAGGGCCACCTAGTAGGAATGATGGTTTGCACAAGTCTGATCTGCTTTGGCGTAGTCTGCCTTGTATCTAGTTTTATTTTCCCCTTCTATTGAAGCCCGTTTTGATGATAATTCTCCTTTAAATGTTGGTGTTGATTTTTTGGTACGTATTTTCAATCATTGTATGCGCCACAAGTTAATGTGCCTTAATTTCTTTATTGCTGTTCAGGAGCTTGTTGGAGTTTTTCCGCTACAGGTGCTATGGAAGGAATAAACAAAATCAAGACAGGCTCTCTGGTCAGTCTTTCTGAACAGGAACTAATTGACTGTGACAGATCTTATAATAGTGGCTGTGGTGGTGGCCTCATGGATTATGCTTATAAGTTTGTGGTTAAAAATGGTGGAATTGACACAGAGGACTACCCGTATCGTGAAGCAGATGGTACATGTAACAAGAACAAGGTAACATGGGGTTGCAGAAAAGTACCTTCACAAACTGTGTAGCGCCTGTTACCATGCCATGTTTATGTGATGTGTTTTCTTATATTACAGCTGAAAAAGCGAGTTGTGCCAATTGATGGTTACTCTGAAGTACCTTCCAACAAAGAAGATTTGTTACTCCAGGCTGTTGCCCAGCAACCAGTTAGTGTAGGAATATGTGGCAGCGCTAGAGCATTTCAGCTATACTCCCAGGTACAGTAACTGTTTATTTTACTTCCCTTCTATATACATAATTAGTTTTTTTTTTTAAGGTCAACGGGGGAGGCGTTCCCCACCTGATTTCATATATTGGCCCAAAACGGCCCGTTATGTTTTACAAGGCATTTTGTACATATAAGTGGCACAACCAAAGTTCACCAAAAGAGAGAAAAGACTACATCATGGCACAAGAACTATTCGACGATGTCTCCAAAGAGGTGAATGACGTGTAGACGTAATCATCGTGCGCCGAGCAGAAGCTTAGCAGGGCTTTCGCCCGAGTCTTGTGCCGAGGAGAAACCGCAATGGCCTGGCTGACCCTGAAGAGGAGGCAGCAGGAGGTTCTTCAGCGATGCCTTCAAGAAGGAAGATGCTCTTGAAGGCGATCTCATCGCTGGCCTAGCCAAGAGCTGAGCAAAGCTTTCACCCAGAAACCTCGCCGTCGCGCTGTGGAGCCGGCACTCTCTGCCCTCCCTGACAAGAGGCACGGGGGGAGGGCAGCCGCGGACACGCAGCCCCGCTGCCGGCACGCCCGCGGCCAAACCGCGCGCACCGTGCATGTACGTGAAGAACATTGTACTGTTGCCGAGAGGACAGCGGTGGCTCCACCGAATCCGAACACGAGCCGTCGGATATAGCAAAGAGGACGCCCAAGGCAACGCAGCCTCGTCGCCAGCAAGCTCACGGCCAAACCGCACACCCAGGGCCCTGCACACGCACATGAAGAAGAGACACCACAGAGCAGCTCCAGAAGTACCCCGTGCAAGGGCTCTGCCGCTCGGGAGCACCGCAACGGGGAGGTCACGCCAGGGGGGTCTTGCACCAGCACGTATCTGCGTCAGGTCATTGAGCGCCGTGCTGGGGCTTCCTGCCGACCAGGGGTGGCGGGCCACCGTCGAGGCGCCATTGGGGCCGGATTTGCCTGCGACGATGGGAGGTGCGCACCGGCAATGCCAGCCGCCGCCACACGTCATGGAGCCGTTCGGACTCGCCAGCGACGATGGGAGGCATGCATCGGAGCCGTTCTGACTCGCCCGCGACGATAGGAGGCGTGCACCGGCGCCGCGCTGAAACTCGACGCCCCCGCGCTGATCCGCCTGCTACAACACGCGGACAGGAGACGCAACATCAAATTACCGGGTCAACGCGGAGAAGCTGGCCGCCACAGCCCCCAGTCAGCAGCCTGGCTGCCATTCGCCGCCATGCGCCGTCCACGTCGTCGCGCCTCGCCGTCATTCGCTGCCCTGAACGACAGCTTTTCCCGACGTGGCCACGGTGCGGGCAACCACCGGAAGGACTGGAGCCACTGCATCAGGCCCCCGCACCACAGTCGCAGCAAGCAGTGGCCGCCCGCCAGCGCCGGCGAGCCGCAACCGCATGCGCCAGCACCACCCGGCTGTGGGCCACAACCACGACGCTGTCGCGACCGCATGCACCAGCCGTCCACGTGGATCCAGTGACGGTGGCGGCAGATCTGGGCCCTGGGGGCCAAATCCGCCCCGCCGGCCGCCCACGCACATTGGAGATGAGGAAGGAGACACGGAGGGTGTCGGTGAAGCCGAAGACGAGCCAGAGAGCGAGCAGAGCGCAGATCCGCGGTGGAGGAGTATGGATCCGGTCGTCTCCTATGCGCATCTGAAGCTAGCCTGTGCAACCGCGCCACCGTCGACCAATGAAGCCTGCAGCCATGGAGGAGCGAGAGGGCAAAAGAGTAGAGGATGTTAGATTGATCTCCAATCCCAAATTGGGCCCAACGGCCCAGTTGGGCCTTTGATCCGCGTCCTGATCGGGGGCGCCTAACCCACTATGACTAGAGGGCCCTTGTCACACTACGCAATAAATAGAGGTGAGGGCCGGCGGCTCAAGTCACGAGGTTCGCCTGAGCCGAGCTCCCCACCAAAAACTAAACCCTAATCCGATCTAGAGGGGCGCAGCCAGTGACGGGAAGCCACCAGCCGCGCCACCCCGCTCCACCGACGTCGACGGCTTCATCGAACTCTTCCCCGAACGTCGCTGCCCGTGCGCAGACTTCACTGACGAACGAGATGGCCGACGCCTCTGGATCGACTCCCTCTGCGGTGTCAAGTTTGACACGTCCATCTGCTACCCCTCCCTTTTTCTCTTGTTCTATCTACTGTTACTGCACTAGTTGATGTTCTAGGATTCATGATTCTATTCAACAGCAAGTACCCAGCTAGATCTATGCTCCTAGTGATTCTATATGTTTTAACGGAGGAAGAGGGAGCTGGGCCCTGCCGCCGCCTTCATCTCCTCCGCGCGGGCACCCGCCGGCGAGCTCTGGCAGCAGCAGGGGATGGGATGGGGAGGGAAGGGCCAGCGGCGGTGTGGTCGGGGTCGCCGCCCGAGTCGCCCACGGAAGGGACGACGCGGGGGCCACAAGTGGAGCGTTTTTTCACCTTCACATAATTCGTTTCTTCTGTACTAACATGTGTTACAGAACAGTAACTGTTTATTTTACTTCCCTTCTGATTTTTTCTTATGCAGGGTATCTTTGATGGTCCATGTCCAACATCTCTTGATCATGCTGTGTTGATTGTGGGTTATGGTTCTGAAGGTGGCAAGGATTACTGGATTGTGAAAAACTCTTGGGGTGAAAGTTGGGGAATGAAGGGCTATATGCATATGCATCGAAACACTGGTGATTCCAAGGGTGTCTGTGGTATAAACATGGTGGCATCATTTCCTACCAAATCAAGCCCCAATCCTCCTCCTTCACCAGGCCCAGGTCCAACCAAATGCATTCTGCTTACATACTGTCCTGAAGGATCCACCTGTTGTTGCTCGTGGCGTGTCTTGGGCTTTTGCCTTTCCTGGAGCTGTTGCGAACTGGACAATGCAGTTTGCTGCAAGGATAACAAATACTGCTGCCCTCATGATTATCCTGTTTGCGATACAGATCGCGGGCTGTGTCTCAAGGTTTGTTCGCTTGACATGTGTGTAATCTGTTTGAACTTTAGCCATTATTTGTTAGGGCACTGGCCTGCATCAAAGTTTATTAGTGTTTGTTCTAATCTTTTCTGAATTAATTTTCGTCTTTATTTGATTATTACCTTTCCTTTTTCAGTTATGAACTTTTCCATGTATGGTCGTTTAAAACATTTCAGTAACTGACATCTTAACTGAATACTTTGATTTATTGTATTGTATCAGGCCAGCGGCAACTCTTCTGCTATAGAAGGAATCAGGAGGAAACAGACTTTCTCTAAAGCTCCCTCTTGGACTGGCTTGGTGGAATTGATGGACCAATGAGCATATATAATCAGATATGGATGGAAGGTAAGATTAAGTCAACTTGATTTCGCTAACGCTGTTATATTTGACGTCCATTCCTTATATTACAACCCACCCATGCTGACCGTTGTTTGTCTCCAACAATTCACAGATTCAAGCAAGTTATTGTGCGATCGGTAGGTCGGCTAGTGGCCTTGTTCAGGTGCCCTGCCACGTTCCTGTATGTTCTTTCTCTACTACCCGCCGCATTGCACCGAGATGCCCGGATTTGCTCTGTATTATTGAACCCTACTCTGGTGTAAAGTTTCACGATTGTACATGTATGAGCTTATGAATTAGAGAGGCCCTGCACGGATGATTTACCGCGGTTGAGGGCTATTGAGGGCCAGGCCGCATAATAATAATAAAGAAAGAGGACTTTTGTCTAATGTTTTGTGGCTAATGATGCGTCATGCATCTAGTGCTGGCCCAGTGTGTTATGTTATTCAGTTATTCTCGTTTGCGGTCCTCGAACGAAGCTCCACGGCCAAATCAGGCGAGTAGCGGAGCAGGCATCTGGCGCCCTGGTTTTTGCTAAAAAGTCATACAATTGCGTAGAAGAAAGCCACAGCGAAAGCGACGAAGAGGGCGAGGAGAAGGGCCTGTTGGCTCCGTCGACGAGCCCATCGACCCTCTGGAGATCTCTTCACCGTTTTGCTCCACCTGCCGGCGACTGCTCCCTACGAGGCACTCCGGCAGTAGTTCATCGTCCTCTCCACCGGCCCGGCGGCCCCAAGCTATTTGGTGTACCTGGTGGACGACACGAAAGCCGAGGCCCCCTGTCGCGGATGAAAAAATAAATAAAGACTAATGTTTACCTACAGTGGTAGTATGTTTCATTTTTTTTTTGGAAAGGTTAGTACTATGTTTCATTTGGTATGGCTCCAAATGGAAAGTAAGTATTTTTAGAGAATCACTTCATGTAATAAAAACTGTTTGGCAAATAGATTCTCAGCGTGTCTAGCTGTGATTCAGTGGTGTCAACGATTTGTGGTTCTCCTCTCTTTTTCTGAAATGCGTTCTTCTGCTCCACGTCGGTAGAAAATGTGCCCGCGCCGGAGCGGCGGAGCCGACGCCGTGAAGCCGTCGCATTCGCCGTGGAGAAATAGATTCCGATCCTCGATACACCGGTGATGGCGCCATATGCTACGAACCCGCCCCCAGCCGCAAACGTGATAGGCCGACGGTGATGGGTGGTGGGCTGGTGGCTGTTGTCTGCTGAGCGTCAGGCGAAGCGACCCTCCCCGATTCGGTCACGTCGGGCCGTCGCGTCCGACGCTTCGCTTCCGCCTTCGGGCGAGCGGCGCGCGCGCGCGCTGGCAGCGTGTGGATGAGGTTCGCTCTCCCCGCGATTCCCCAACGCCAACGCGCAGGCGTTGCTCTCCAGTTCATAAAGGTGAGGTATGGCGGAAAACGAGATCCCCACCAAATTCGTTTTTAGCGTGGGAGGCGCGCGGGGCCAAGACGGCATCGAACTCGTCGGCGCTTCGAAAGCTCTAGCATGCCAAGAGCACATTGGCAGATTGATTGGGTAACCTTTTCTAATGTTTTTAAAAAAAAATTGCTGACTTCCTGTTCAGATTGATGAAATTGCCATGCTGCAGAACTAAGGTTCAGGAAATCAATTTCCATTTTGTCAGTGTGTCCACTGCTTGAAACGGAGTCAAGACTATCCCGGTGAAGTGCAAGCAAGCAACCCCTTCTCGAAGATGGAATCAAGAACCCACCAAGTTACATTTGCTAGGTGAGTGCCACCAGACCACCTCCACCCACAACAGGCAGAATAACGAGTGAAAGAAAAACATTATATTGCAGGATCCATATCATAAGAAATGTGGCTTCTTTAATTTCCCATCTCTAGTTTGCAGGGAATCATGCAAAGGTCGGTGTGGCCTGGGATTGCAGATCAGTAAAAGGCGAATATGAGGGGCTGGAAACAGACTGATAATCGCGTCGTGGAAACTGTGTGCGTGAATTGGCTCCAGTAGGTCAGAGAATCTAGTTCCCTTGTTTGCTTTCAGGTCTCCTCAACCGTTAGCGCTGCCGCCTGCTTGCGAGTTGTGACTAGTGGCTGGTTTGGCCCTGGCATCCTTTGCTTTAGTCATCCTATAAATTGGCAGGGGCATGCTTCTTCTTGTCTTATTAAACTCACAACACGGTAGCAGGGGGTAGTAGAAGGCATAGGCTCAGTTCTCTGACTCTCAAAGTGTTTGAGCCTATTTTGCGCAACGAAAAATGGTATTTTCTTTTGTTTGTTTGTAAGCTTGTATGTGCGCGTGCACACACATATTTCTGTGTTTGTTTTCCAAAACATATGGTGTGTCGATAATGGTCTAATGAACTTCTAAGTATGCATAGAACCTTCAAAAATAGAAAAAAGGGCAGACCAGTGCTGGAGGCTCCCACATGCGTGGGGTCTGGGGAAGGGAAAAAACGAGGCAAACCTTCCCCCCGCAAAATCTACGGAAAGGCTGCTTCGAACCCACGACCCGGTGACTCAGCTCTCACCACTGCACCAGGCCTGCCCTTCGTATAATTGTGCAGAATAGTTGGGATCACGTCACATGACAAACCATTTGGAGTTTTCATTTGCCAGTTTTGGAAATTGGACACTTTTTGACCCTTTCTTGGAAATCTTAGAATCTGGAACAGGACTTGCATTCAATGATGTTTTTTCATTCCATGAAAAACTTGCCAACTGAATGTGATAACAGCACTTCGATTTTGCTGGATATGAATTTAAATCAAAGTTTAAAACACAATGGTTTATATGTCATATAGTTTTTAGAATTCTAGTTCTGTTACCATGTTCTAACAAAAAATTTGTGATCTATGTCTACTAGAGCATCAAAAGCATTAACGGGAAGAGTCCCATAGTGGTTGGACCTTGTGGAGGGACAGGAGGATACCCTTGGGATGACGGTGTGTACTCAACAATACGCCAGATCGTGGTCGGCCATGGTGCAGCTATCGACTCAATAAGGATTGAGTATGATCTGAAAGGAAGGTCAGTTTGGTCAGAGACGCATGGAGGTACTGATGGAGGCTCTGAAACAGATAAGGTATACTTCACTAAATCATCCCTGAAACATCTGTATTTTTTCTATTTTGATATGAAATGGCCCTATTTGGATGCTGATGAACTTCAAAGACAATTTTTCATTTTGTTAATCTGGTTTACTCAAGCTGCACCGAGTTTGCACTCGACAAGCCTAATTTGATCTCTATTCTAATCCAGACAAGTGCTTCTGTGTTGATCAAGAAGTTCAGTATTTCAAATCAGTTTTCACGCCTGTTTGACAAAATTGTTCATGCTTTCTGTAATCTGCAGGTGAAGCTAGATTTTCCAGATGAAGTCCTTGTGTCTGTAAGTGGACATTACGGATCTGTTTGCGGGACACCAGTCATCATAAGATCATTGACATTTCAGAGCAACAGTTCGACGTATGGACCTTTCGGCACCGAAGATGGGACACCTTTCTCACTTCCAGTGAGCAGCGGCAAGATCATTGGATTTCATGGTCGGTCTGGGTCATATCTCAACTCAATAGGTTTCTACCTGAAGCAAGTGCATTTTCCAAATCCAATGAATTCTCCACCTTCACCTATGAGCCTCCCAAGCTCACAAAGTAGAAACGGCTATGGACTCACTCGGGGTGATACTGGACCTGACATGGTTCTCGCTGTGCGAGATAGAGGTGACAGCTATGCTGTTTATGCTAACAATCAGCCCAAGCAGCAGTATACAAACCCATCACCGGACTACAATGATGGAGCACTCTGGAACAAGGTGTGACAAACTAGCCTACCACATGCATCCTGTTCTCTTGTTATCAAATAATTGTACAAACTTTAAATTCTGAAATCTGAACTTTGCCTTGCAGATGGTTTCTTTCCCCAGTTACTATGGAGATACAGGAGCTGCAGCCGTGAGCAGCCCTCAGACTTATGGTCCCTGGGGTGGAAGTGGTGGAACCATATTTGATGACGGTGTATACACTGGTGTGTGGCAGATCAATTTGACACGCGCAGTGGGAATTTCTTCTATTAAGGTTCTGTATGATCGAAATGGACAGGCAGTATGGGGTAACAAGCATGGATTCAGTGGAGGTGTTATACCTGACAAGGTAATGTAACTGCCGTATCAGTTTTGTTGTTGAACAGTAACGTTTATCAGGTTTGGATGATCTGACAACTTTTGTCTTGGCAGATAATATTCGATTTCCCCTCAGAGGTGTTGACTCATATAACCGGGTTCTATGATTCAGCAATAATCATGGGCCCAACCGTGGTCAGATCTCTAACGTTTCACACGAACAAGCGGACATATGGACCATACGGGGATGAGTATGGCACATACTTCTCCACAAGTTTTACCAATGGGAGGATAGTAGGATTTCATGGCAGGGAGGGGTGGTACATCGATGGCATTGGAGTTCATGTTCATGAAGGCAAGTTGACATCACAGCGATTTGTTAGCAGACCGAATGCCGCGACTAGCCCATCAGTACATTACAACATGCTTGCTCAAGCGCAGAGCAATACATATACAGACAATGAGGTAACTAAAATTCTTAAGTCTGAAACTCTGAATCCGGTTCGGAAATGTGGAGCCATCACCAGCATTTCTGCAGGGGAGATAGCTGAAACAGACAGTGATCGATGAATTCTAATCATTTTGCAGGTTGCTTATGGCATGGTGAAAGAACCGGTTCCGATGGGACCAGGACCATGGGGTGGGGAGGGAGGCCGGGCGTGGGACGACGGCGTTTACACTGGCGTGAAGCAAATCTACATCATGAGAGGAGCATTCATCGGGTCGATACAGATCGAGTATGACAGGAGTGGCCACTCCATCTGGTCTTCGAGGCATGGGAACAGCGGCCACATAACGCACAGGGTGAGTGCCGAATCAAGTTTCTCTCATGTTCATCCATCCCCTTGCCGGGATATACCATGAGCCCTGCATAAATCTTCAGCATCGTGACATCGTTTTCCCCTGAACGCATGTGCAGGTCAAGCTGGACTTCCCGCACGAGGTGCTGACGTGCGTGTACGGCTACTACAACACGAACAGGGAGGACGGCCCCCGTGTCCTGAGGTCACTGACGTTCATCACCAACCGCGGCAAGTACGGGCCGTTTGGCGACGAGTTCGGCGCCTACTTCTCGTCGGCGACGACGGAGGGGAAGGTGGTGGGGTTCCACGGCCGGAGCGGGCAACACCTGGACGCCATCGGCGTGCACATGCAGCACTGGCTCGGGGACAGGAGGCCTGCCCCCAAGTACGTGCTGTCCAAGTACCTCTTCTGATTTCTGATCACCGGGCTGGTCGGTCTACACGTAGTAGCTTCAGCTTTATACGAGAGGGATGTATCTAATTTTGGGCTGGTCGATTTAATTACTTGTAGCTTCAGCATTTGTTGGTCTTCATTCCCTGTATTCGGGGCATACTCCTACGTATCGATCGAATTAAAGAGATGCAGTTGTTCCGAGTAGATCCTCTCTGTTGAATTTCAATACATCCTTTGTCAGTTCTAATGCCCAATATTCGAATGTGCTGCTGCTTGATATTCGAATGTGCTGCTGCTTGTTATGAACGCAGAGGCAGGGTGCTCTGAGTTCTTTTTTCAAAAAAGAAAAGTAGGTTCCCTATGTTTTATTCTAAGAATAAAATACACTTTGCGTATTTGAGGCGCGGCCGTCATTCTTATGTTGAATTCTTTCTTTTAGGGCGCATTTTGCATATCTCCAGCTCTCAAGTGGAGCAGCATTGTTTGCCTCCGGATAGCTTCTCAATAAAAATATTCGGTAAAATAGCTTGTCAAACCGCCCACCCCCCCTCTCTCTCTCTCTCTCTTCTTCTTCTTTTTATTTATCCTCTTTTCTTCTTTTATTTTTTCCTCCTCTCCTGTTTGACTATTTCTCCTTTCTTCCCTCTTCTCTCTCTTTCATATCAACTTGGCCCTCCTTGCCTCCGCCCCACCTTGCTCGTCCTGTGCCTCGATTGCCCGTGCCCCGATCGCCTTGCTTGGACCGTTGTCCACCCTGCTCCTTGCCTAGACAGAGGAGGGATGTTTTGGGGAGGCCCGCACGCATATACAGAGGAGCCAGACGAAGCTACTTCTTTTTTGACTCCTATGGTGGTTTTGGCATCCAGCTCCAAAGAGCGAGTTTCCTGGACAGGGTAGAGCAGAACAGAGACACTGATAGAGAAGCATGTTTGGTTCGTGGAACATGGAATTGCTATAGGAGCGCTATTGATGGGGCCTTAATAACATCATATATGAGTTCTCTTAACTTTATTCTTGGTGGAAAATTGATTCGGATGCTTTGCTTCTCTATGTTCACTTCAATCTTCAAGCCTGATTGTTTTTGCTTTTATTTGGCTTCTGCTGGCCAAAAGCCAGAAGTTCAAACAAACAATGCAGTTGTTGAGTTTACTTTTGAAAATCTAAAAAGCGGCTTATGGGGAAATGAACTTAAAATTGAAAGGCACGTTGATAGCAGCTTTAGAAGCTAAAGATTCATTACAAAATCCAATAGCAGAATTAAGAAAAGCCAGCTTAAGCCAAAAATCTAAAAGACACAACTCAAACAAATAGGCACTCAGTCACTTGTGGATTTGGAATTTTTAGTATTGCGAGGATCACTTTAGCCTGAGTTAACCTAGTCAAATTTAATCCTATAACGATATTTTTTTTAGACGTAGTGAGTAAAGATTAGTAGCAGCTAGTACGAAAAATGCCAACGATCATGGGGCATAGCCGCATAGGCAAGCGTGGCTGCGTGGGGCAGTCTGCACGATCATCAAAGACGACGAACACAAATGACAAACCGAGTCTGCGATGCCCGTACAGCCAGTGTGCGGTGTGCCACTGTGGCACTGTCTGATAGCAGCAGATCCAAAGGATGCCGCTTGGCCTGCCGAATTTTTTACTTTTTTGCCCTTTTTTCGAAAGTTTCTCTCAAATAGACCCCTGGCGGAAAGAATTCCAGAAATAGATCCTTGGCTCGGCGCCAGAGTGAGTGGCGCCGAGCTCAGCGCCACGGTGACTGGCGCCGAGCTCCTGACCACGGGCAAACGGCCTGCTAGGGGCTCGGCGCCAGAGCGGATGGCGCCGAGCTCGGCGCCACTCACTCTGGCGCCGAGCTCGCTCAAATATCTACCCGGCCGCCTTCTTCCTCCTCTAGTTGCTAGCCATGCCCGCCATCCACCCCACGCCGCCACAAGACGCCGCCCCACACAAGCCGACGCCTTCACCTGCACACAACATGTACACTTGCCGCTCGCCATGCCCACACCGCCATGCAGCAGCCCGCGCTGCCATGCTGCAGCAGCTCACACAGCCATTGCCAGCCACATGCCATATAGCCCATATAGCCACTGCTGCCCGCAAGCCTAAGCCCAGCCAGCGCCTGGCTTGTCCGAAAGCATCGCTGCTTCCGGCGGGCCGAGCTCACACCACGCTTCCGCTCCTTGCCCGAGCCCTGCGACCATGGCGCCAGCTCATGCCGGCTGGGCCCGTCCGAACATTCTGCCTTGCTCGGGCGGCCGAGCTCATGCCTGCTTCTCTCCTCGCCTGAAGCTCATGCAAGCCACTGCTGCTGCCAGCAGCTGCCTGGCCCGTCCGTCCGGGCATTCTTTGCCCGGCGGCTGAGCCAGCCACGCTCTCTCGCCCTCGCCTTGAGCCTGCACTGCGTCAGCGCTGTGCCCTCATGTTGTTAGTAGTTAGTTGGGCTGCTAGGCCGAGCCGCCTCACGCCCACCGTCGTCGTAGCCTTTGTCTCCCACCGCCGCCTCGGCCTCGCCCATTTTGTCGACGCCCACCGCTGTCCTTGCCTCGCCCGCCTCCTCATGCGGCCGAGCCGGTCTCGCCCGTGTGAGCCAGCCACCCACCCATGACCACCATGTGCGCCACCTCTGTCGTTGCAGCGCCACCGCAGATCCCGGATATTCGCCTTGACCTCGCCCATCGTCCAATCGACCTTTAAAGGTATAAAATATGAATATGCAATGTACCTATTCAGTTGGTGTATGTTATTGACTAGTTATATTGTGATGACTTTGTTAGTTGATTTAGTTATATAGATAGAAACATAGATACATTGATAAATAGATATAGTTAGATAGCTACTTAGATATGTAGTTATATTTATAGTTAACTACAAATGATCTTGCTATTTAGTGAGTACACTATAAATATATATGTAGTTATGATCATGATTACTTAGTTTGTAGTTAGAAAGTACTTGTTAGGTACTATCTATCGTATAATTTGGACTAAAGGACATGTGTTTCATTACGTTTTTTAAATAGATGGACAACCTAGTGACCATATATCATGGAGGCACGGTTGAAAGCGATCGTTATGGATATGTTGAGTTTCTTGACATGCAAAGCGTGCCTGTGCTATTCAATGATAGACCTTCATTTAGTGATATGGTTGCAAGGGCTCGGGAGGAGCTGCATTGCTTTGGAGATGATGACATTGCAGTTGATGGTGTACTGCACCTAGGTTGTCCTCCAAACATCTTCAGGCGAATGATCTCAATTGGTTGTGCGGATCAGTGGGACAACTATGTGAGATCGGCTATGAAGAGCCAGCTGCAATGTTTGGACGTGGTTGTTAAATCGGTGTTAGTTGATCCAATCCCTCATGGGTTTACCCCAAAATGGATCATCCGGCACACATCGACCCTCCCGCTCGAAACCTTACACCGCATGTGCGATTGCGCCTATGGTTCCTGATGCTCAATCTGCCCCCAATGCGTTATTTGGAGATGGTTGTCATACTCATGTTTTCGTGGCATATCCTCCTTATGAGATCCCTTTGACACAGAATCATCCGAGTAAGTGTCTTAACCGCATGGTTTTTGGGAGCTCATCAGAATCATGGTATTTTTTCATTCTTTCCTCATTTCTGTAATGACGTTGCAGGAGACATTCCCGAGAATATCGATGTGCCCCCATGTTCTTGCTGCATAAGTGCACTTTTCGGATGGATTTCGTGGCTCAATGATGTTGAAATTATGAATGATTCGAGCCATATGAGATGGCTAGGGCTCTTGATTATGATGATGATCGTCTTTGTTGGAGAGCCGACGGAGAGTGATGTTGAGATGATGAGATGTATCTTTCCCGACCGCCGCCGTGATCCTAGAGTTCATGAGTTTAGTGATCTTGCTCATTCTCGATCGGCGTTTGCGTAGGACGTGATGATGAGCTCCTAGAAGCTCCCCGAGGCCGGTCCTAACATGGTAATTGAGGAGGGAGGGTGTTCAATGACCTCCCCGCTTTGAAGAGGTGGTTGCGGCTTTTTTGCGGATACTGAAAGAGGCCTTTACAGGTATTGCATTCATATGTGGGCGCCGCCATACGCAGTTGTGTGTGACAAGGAACGCGCCCATGGAGGGTTTGTGCAAGGAAGCAACAAAGATCGAAAATGGAAGATCACAAAAGTAGTTGGGCCACACAATTGTGTCGACCATGAGCCGACAATTGAGGCATCGGCAGTTGACATCTACCCTAATTGTCAAGCGGTTGATGGGAATTTTGCAGGGAGAACCCAACATGAAGGTGAGAACAATTATCAGGATCGTTGAGGCGTTGTATGGAGGATATGTGATAACTTATGGTAAAGCATGGAGGGCTAAGCGTGAAGTGGAACATGACATATGGGGACCGGGAGGATGGGTATGAGCAAATGCCGGTTCTTTTTTCAATGCAATCAAAGCGGTGAATCCAGGCATGCATTATGAGTACATCCCAAAACCTAATGCATGGAAGGATGGGAGGCAGATATTTTTTCGTGCCTTCTAGTGCTTTCCTCAGTGTGTCGAGGCCTTTAGGCATTGTCGTCCCGTCTTCTCCATTGATGGTACATTCTTGATTGGCAAATACCAGGGCACACTTCTTATAGCCATATCCTGTGACGCGAACAACAAGTTGGTTCCTTTAGCATTTGCTTTGGTTGAGAAGGAGAACAATGACAGTTGGGGATGGTTCTTGAGGCTAGTCCGGATACATGTGGTTGGCCCTGGCAGGGAGGTTGGCGTCATATCTGATAGGCATCAGGGCATACTTAATGCCATGCGAGAGCAGTTAGAGGGGTATGCACCTTTGCACCATCGTTGGTGTACTCGACACCTTGCCGAGAATCTCCTACGGAAGGACAGTGTCAAGAAAAACTTTGATCTGCATTGCGGGAGGTCGCTTTCGACGACTTGAGGACAAGTACTTTAGGGAAAAGTTGGAGCAGTCGAAACCGCATCAAATGCGAAAGGTAGACAATGGCTCACGGGGTTTGATGA